ACACGGTGGTGTTGGGTTGACGGTTGGACTCGATGATCTTAGAGGTATTTTCCAACCTTAATGATTCTATGATTCTATGATTTAATTCTGTAGTACTGAATGTCCGTACAGGCTTATGTTACTTGGAATAAAATGGTTGTTAACATATGTCAGCAGTCTGTGTTAATACATCAAGTTCAATCATTTTGGTTCACACAATTCAGAACCGGGGTCTCCTGAGTGACTTGTGTGGAATGTGTAGTAGCATATATGAAATTGGTAGAGACAGTAACTCACTGAAGTTGGTCAAGGAAAAACCTGAACGGCTTCCCTATTGCCACAGGGCTGTATGCCTTATCTCGCTTAACAGAAAAACAAGGTGGTGGGGTGGGAACTTGGGCCGAGTGCTAGAAGTGAGTTCATTTTGTGAAAAGAAAATTACTTTTGGTCTCTTTTATATACAAGTGAGGCAAAAATAATGTACCTGTGCTGCAGAGATAGCTTTTGAAATACAAAGGCATAGCGTGACTTACTTCAAGCTCCAATTTAATTGGAAGGTAGTGCAATGTTACTCATTTCCTTTACCTTCGTTTACATTAGATGCTCTTTGTGTTTGAAGGTAGAAGAGGTGCTTACTGATGGACGTCGGATCATCACTTTCCGCAATGGTACTAAAAAAGAGATCAGTGCTGATAAAAGGATGACTACGATTAGCTTTTTCAATGGAGATGTAAAGAAGATCATGCCAGATCAGAGAGTGGTGTGTAACATTTTTTTTTCTTTAAGGAAAATTAAATGATTAAGCGAGTTTCCAACAAGGTCCTACAATTTATCTTGAGCTATCAATTCTGGAAGAAATTGATGAGGAAGGGTGTTGGTTTAACAACCCTGAGTAGTGAGACTGCTTCATCTACAAAGACAAAAGTGGAAAGAGATGAAGGTAACAGTCAAAGGAACAAACGGGTAGTTGGCCAAGCAGATTAAAGGAGACTGAAAGAAGGCAAAGGGCAGGGGCAGCCATCTGAAGCAAGGACTGGTTTTTATACATTTGTAGGGTAGGTAGCACAGGGGGTTCTTCCCTCTTGGCATTATGTAAATATAAGTAGTTAATAATAATGTGAGCTAGAGTGGAAATAAGTGAGGCCTTGGCAGCAGTGGGACTATTTTAAATTAATAGTGCATGGATGGGACCCAAAGCAAAGAGATAGGAAGATGACTTTCATGCGTGCACTGTTGTCTTGTACGCTACAGAAATGAAAGTAGCAACATCTAGACACAGCCACGAGGAGGGGGTTGAATGAGAGGAAGAAACAGAAATGCAAACATAGCTACTTTTATGGATGGCAGATACAGAAAATCACCTTGAAATGACTTTTTTAAGATGGCTTATTTTTAAGCACATTTTATGGTTGAATCTGCTTATGCAAATATTGTGAACATGCTGCAAACACTTCACTCTCCTTTCAGATGTATTATTATGCAGATGCACAGACAACCCACACTGCTTATCCAGATGGCCTGGAGGTGCTGCAGTTCCCTAATAATCAGATAGGTATGCAAGAGCTCATAAATGTGAACTAGATGTGCAGGAAGGTTTCTATTATGAAAATGTCATCTGATTCTAACTCCAGCAGATTGGTTTTTTTCTTCTCAATTTGCATTGTCTTTGTATTTGACTTCCAGCATGTTCCATCACTTTACTGCTCAGTTTCCTCCTACAAAGCAAAGATAATAATGGGGTGTAAATGCATCTCTTCTAATTTTGATTATCTGATTATTTGATTCTTTAATTTCTTTAGCAGTATGCTGGATATAATTTTCATCTTCACTACAACGTCCAAAAAAAATCTGATCTAGCTCTGTGTAAAGCAACATGAAAGAACACTAGACAGACTTTTTACATCTTCTTTTCCACAGAAAAACATTATCCTGATGGCACACAAGAAATTGTGTTCCCGGATCACACAGTGAAATGCCTCTATAGTGACGGATTCAAGGAAACTTTTTTCCCAGATGGTACAGTAGTAAAAGTAGAAAAGTAAGTCTCGTGTTAATGACAGGAACCAGGCATTGGGCACAGGTACAATGATACTGACATTTAAAACTGTGGTTGGATTCTGCATGGCTGGGAAATTTCCAGATGAAAGGAGAAAGGATTTGTAAGATAACGAGGATTTTGCTACCATGAGGCACTGATAATTCTCCACTTCCACCTTGGATGATAGATGACCATTTATCACTGACAAAGTGACTGTGAAATGCTCCTCATTTAGTTCCATGTAACTTTACACTGGCCAGGGCTGCCGGGAGATCACCAGTTGTCTGTGTTAACAACGTGGGTACTAAAGGACTCAGGATCAGGACTCCTGAGCTCTATTCCTAGCTTTTTGGCTCCCTTTCTGGTCTCGGGCAAGGCATTGCATGTGTCATCTCTCTATTCCTCCATGTAAAATGAGGAAAAATAACAATAGGACTTTCTTACACATGCCTCTTCTGGGCTTAGGGAGGATCCTGTTGTAAAATAGATTTCCTGCTTGCAAAATGCCTTGAGATCCCTGCATGAAGGTCATGTAAAATGCAGATCCCACCATCCATTAGGTATCATACTATGTACTGAAGTACCTTTGCATTGAAATCTTATTGTGAGATCAGATTTCTAATGCCATCCTATGTAAATTCTGAGGTGAATTATAACCTGAGAAAGTTGTCACTTGACGTTATTTTCCACTTTCATTGTGTCACATTAGACAGCTCAGTGAGATAGGTTAATAACAGATAGCGCCTTCTCATCACTTCATTCATCATTATTTCTTTCAGGAATGGAGATAAAACAGTGGTGTTCAGTAATGGCCAGAAGGAGGTTCACACTGCGCAGTTCAAGAGGCGGGAGTACCCAGATGGCACTGTAAAAACTGTGTACAGCAATGGCAGACAAGAAACCAAGTACTCCACTGGACGAGTTCGAATCAAAGATGAGGAGGGTAATATCATCCTAGACAAGAAGTGACTCCTCCCCTCAAAGGGCTGCGCTGCATGTAAGTAGCTCAACCCATTTTCCCAGCACGTCAGAACCGTTAGGAAGATTTAAGCCTTGTGAAAATGAATGGATGGATCTGTAGGGCTGAAGTTCACTTTGGTTCGGTAGGCTGGTGCTCAGTTTAGAATAACCTTACCTGAATGAAATGTCTCTTGAGTGAGATTTGAACGAAATACAGTCATGCCCTCTTTGTGTATGTAACATTAAAATAAATGCCGATAGTACTTCTCATCAAAGTGTTTGTTTCATGATACTGATCACACTTTCCCTTGTTTTTCTGCTAGTTACAAAAGTGACTACAATTAAGGAGCATGGCATAAGAACCTCAAATCTACAAAGCTTTTTGAACTTCAGTTGAGTGCTGCCTTGTGTTGACTAAAACAAATCTACGAGGTTATTTTTTTCTCAGTTAACCATCACTAAAAATGTGGAAGTGATTAATGTTTTCAGTTTGGTTGGGTTCTTTGGAGCAGAAGATCCCAGGATGCGTTAGCCCTTATCATGAGCTGTACACGAGACCAAAACCTGAGCAGGAGTTCAGTGAACAGTCACACCTCTGGATGTCTCTTCCAATGTAAATTATTCAATAATTATATGATCATAATGTAAGAACTCTGTCTCATGCATTTGAAGACAAAATGTAATGTTTATTCCATCCTGGTCATTATTCTGGATGAAACAGCCCTTTCTTTTTCCTCCAACAGTCTTTCCTCAGACGTCCTCTGTGTTGCTTTGTTTTTGAATTAACCTCTCCCACTACTGCCTTTATTCTTCCAGTAGTGGAAAAATATTTCTGGTCAGTGAATCTCTCCAGATTCAAGGCCCTTTGGATTGCACTTGATACCTAGGGGAATTAATCATTTATCAGATGCTGCTTTCAACTGCCTTCCCCGTTGACTGCCTGTCCATCATGTGTCTTGAATTTTTCCAAAGCACTGAAGCATTTCTCCTGTAGAGCTCAGCTCATTACCTGCCCATTGACTGAGAAGACCAATTATCTCCTCATGCCCTTCAAATTCCTGTAGCAACAAACTCACTGTCATAGCATGCTGCTTTAGCCTTTTCTCGCAGCTAAGTGCAAAATAATTGCAAGATTACGGAATTTCTCTTTCTTCTCTTCAGTTTCTAGTGGGTCAGACTGTCAACAAATCACCATTCAAGTTACAGAGCAACTTTGGAAGAAATAGATTGAATAGAGCAAGAAGTGTTGCTAATATTGATCATACACATGCTGCAGTTTATGAATTTAATTATGATGCCCTGAACATCCATGCAGTTTGATGTCAGCTGGTGTGATAATAAAATTGCATTGTTTTTCCTTTACTCCTGTATAACAAAGGAACAATTTCTAAGCCTGTGATTTTCACTACTGAAATATTTAATATATTTTGTGTTTTGTAAAGGGAAACTCTAATTAAAAGAAATCCAAGAGATCATTCTTTTCCTTGTGTTTCACTAAGAATTTCAGTTCAGTGCTGCCTTACACTGACTAAAACAAATCTACGTGGGTTTTTTTTCCCAATTAAGCATTACGAAAAAAGTGAATGTGATTAATGTTTTCAGTTTGGCTGGGAAACTAGATGTGGTACTAATGTTTTGTAAAGGACCACTGTTTTTATTCCCAGGAATTCCTTTTAACAAAAGGTCCCTGTTCTCCAGCTAATATGCTGACATTCTCTTTGTTTCTATAGTAATACAGAAAACAGGCTTTGTTTGCAGCTTTTAGCCTTAAACCAGCGTTTGCCAGTCCATAACCTCTGTATATAATCCCTCCTAATTGTAAATTAAATAAGGAACAATTTTGTTTGTATGCTGCTCGCTCCTTGCTTCATTAAGCGCTCTCTACCATACTTGCAGGAAGCATTCTGATTCTGGAATAATTAGGCCTGCGATCCTGCACACAGGTGTAACACAAGGGGGATATGCGCAAGTCAGTCTCTAAAACTGTGTGCACGCAGACATGCATGTGTGCAAACACCTTGCCGATGTGTGCATTCATCTCGTTAGCTCCTGCTTACAGGCAGGTTGTAATGGCACGTAAGTATATGGGCCCGGTTCTACCTTCTGGCAAATCAACGGCAAAACTTCCATTGGTGAAATCAAAGGGTGAGACTACTGAGGATTTCACAGTACTTTTGTCAACCAGCGTGTGGCCACCATTTTAACCAAGACATGTTTTTCAAGTAGTATTTTATAGTGTAATAGCAAAGGGATTATTGAAATAAGGGGCACAAATTTGGTTTGAAAAGGAAAAGACAAAAAACGACCTACATAAATGACAAGCTCTGTCAGGTATGTTATAACTGGGAGTCTTTCACAGAGCAGTTATGACACATGCCACGTTGTTCTTCTCAGGCTGATTCTCACACCCGATCTCCTCTACCTTCCACTTGCATTAGTTAACTGGAAGCAGTAATGGCTTTACCAGCTATAGTTCATCGTTGTAGGAACACAAATAATCCAATTTAAGTGTGACTGCATACGTACTTAAACTGTAGCAATACACATATCTACTTTACCATGTTTTTTGTCCTAGAGGGTTTATAGTGAAAAAATTCTATGAATCCTTTGGGGAGATGGAACACAGTTGGGAAACCCCACTTCTCATCTTTCCACAGGTTTTCTGGCATTAGCGGAAGCATGCTACAGCCAGTATTTGGTCTCAATTGTGATTCAAATTGAGAATACGGCATGACTCCTGAACAGTTACTTCCATTCAAACAGCTGGGGGCAGCAAAGATGTGCGAGGGAAGGATAGTATTTTGACCATCATCTCAAATGCTTCAGTTCAGTGTTAGTATTTTTCCATGCACAGCTGATCACCAAAGTGCCTAACCACCGTACTCATCAGGTGGCTAATGCAGAGTCTGTGAGAGAGAGGTTTGATCCAGTCTTCTGAACGTGATATTTGCAGTTTATATTCTGCCCTCTGTTACCTTGGGAAGCCTAATTATTTCTTTATTAAGAGTTCATCTGAAACAAAACACTGGAGCAGTATACAGATTTTTTAAAAACTACTTTCCATAAGAATTGCTACAGAATCCTACTGGTCATAAAATGAAAGTTATTTCATACTGTTGTTTCATACAATGCAAAATTAATTTCTGGAAATGAATGTCGGGAAGCTCACTGGATTCTTCAAAAACATGATAGTTTTGTGTCATTCATATTATCTGCACCTTTGTAAACTGAGTGCATGTTGAATGCTCCCCGGTGTAAAGTGACCAGTTTTTCAAGCCATAAAGCCCCCTTAGTTAGGAAAAGAAAAGAAGCAAGGATCGCTGAGAAAAATAATAAACAAAGACTGGCATTTCTGAGGATGTTTTGAGAAACGCAATTCTCCATTTTTATTCTGGGATTACTTTAATATTGCACAAATTACTTTAAAAAATTAGTACTTTAATTTTAAAAATTAATTTTAAAAAATAATCTTATATGGTAATTGCTAAATTACAATTTTAAAATTGTGTATTGTTTAAGATATCTTTCTAATACAATTTCAGTGTACATCTACCTCCTTCAAGCTAAAGTTGTCATTTATGATATGTCTATGTAACCTAACATCATGAAGTTACACAGAAGCTAAACAGCCTACCCTTTTCTTTGTGTTCTGCTGTTTTGATGGTAACTGTTTGCTCACTAATTTGTTTATTTCCTTTATGATGCTCTTTACATCTGTCCCGTCCCTGGAAGCTTGAAGTGCAGCTTCATTGAAAGGAAAAATAAGGACAAAATCTCCTACCCGGGGGACGGGCCTCTGGTCTTTATCAGAGAGGAAATAGGGGCGTGTGGTTAACTTGTAGTTGTACAAGTCGGGTGTAGGTAACCAGTGGTTTTGTTGGACAGACTTGTGTGGAGAATGCCCAGCTCCTGGGATTTGTTTATTTTTAGCTTCAGCTTTTGCTTGGGAGGGTATTTTTGGCATGTTCATCCTTTCCCGCAGCTGGGAAGTCAGTGTCTTTCTTGGATGTGCTCTGGCAGTTTTCTTGGTCAGGGTAGCCACCTTACGAATTGATCGCCTTGCAGCCTGCAGGGCAGGTTGTACAGAAGAAGCAGAAGAACATTTAGCTACTTTTTGGCAAGCGAGTACGCCAGGAGCCTCCCCCGTGGCACTCTCACCAGCTGTGCTCCAGGGTACCCACCTTCTGCCAGCCTTTGTCCCTGCCACCTGGTTTCGCCTGAAAGTGTCAATCTGTTTGTAGTTCAGCAGTTCAACAATATCGTGAAGAAGCTTTCTTTTCACAGTGTCATCAATGGAACAGTCTAAACACAAGGCCGGATTGTAGTTGACTTCTAAAAGCCACAGCTTGAATTTGTCATCAATCAGGATGTCAAAGCCGAAGAGCTCAAAGCAATTGGAAGCCACTGGTAAGGGGGTTACAGCAAGCAGGGTGAGAATCACTATGTTATTGATCTTCTGCCAGAGGAGCGTGTCGTCAACCCCAAATATTCGAAGGTAAGAACGAAATTTGCTGAATGTCCATTTGCAGCCACAGCCAATCCCTTCTTTATATTTTTGATATGAAGCTCCGTATTTGTTGATGCTGGTGTTTGTTAGGTGGGCATAGACGTTGTCCAGAGAACCAAGGTCAAACTTTTCCGTGGCAAACCTCACCAGTCCTTCTTCGTAAGTGTAAATGGTGAGGGGGCAAAAACTCGTGACACACACATAGAGGCGCAGATCCAGTTTATACCCTGAAATGAGCAAGGGGTTGCTAATGTACTTCTGCACAATGACTGTACAGTCATATACTAAGTCTTTAACGTCTTGGAAAATGAGTATGCCCCTTCCACGGGAAAGATCCACAGGTTTGCAAATCCAGTAGCTAGGTCTTCTGCCTACTGACTGTCTCTCTTTGCTGTATTCTGCTATAAATTTGACATAGTCATTGGGCATGATGAATGCCACCGGGCTAAACTCATACAGAGCTGATCCATACGCTCCTTTCATACGTTTCAGGTGCCTTGCC